CCAAAACCCCAAAACCCCAAAACCCCAAAACCCCAAAACCCCAAAACCCCTCGAGTGTCACGAAACATTGAAGCTGTTTTTAATAATTCTTACGAGAAATTATGCCCAAATGTGGCGCTCATAATTTGTGATAGGTATTTAAAATTTTTAAAGGTTTAATTATTAATAAATCTACTTTTTACAGAACTTACGAAAATTTAAATGGGAGCTAACCACACTACCACATTGAAAAAGGTGACAAAAGACATGTCATCCGAACATCAAGAGAGGATGTATAGTTTGTGTAAGTCTGAACCCCATTGCTGAAATTTTTGATATAAATATTTCAGTTTCCTGCCTGATTTTGAAAAAATGTCTTAATTCTGAAATATAGTCACTGAAAACGAAATCAGAATCATCTTCTTGTTGTTCAAAGATCTGGCTATTAATTCTGAGAACTCAGGAGTGATTAAGAAGTCAGCCTTCTTGAAATTTACCGAATTACCTGTAAGTTAGCTTTCACTTTACAATATTCTGTTGTGTGACGTACTACAATTGGTTCTAACCTCTTCTACAGGGAGTAATCGGACAAAGGGCATACAGATATTCTACAGCTAGACCAGATGAAGGTCTGAACTTTGATGAATTCATCAGCTTGATAGGTAAGCATTGTTATTCAATCGATTTTCTGTAATATCTACTCAGTTTTAAGGTTTACAAAAACTGTAGAAAATGGCCATTTGGCACGTACGGCTTTAAAAATTTTATGGAAAAAATCTGCCAAGGCCGAATAAAGATAGTTTGGTGAAGTTGGTTGCTTAGGATAACACTTGGTGTAGCATGTTTTCACCAAAGATTCTTACTAGAAAGTTCTTGTTTGTCCGTAATTTCTGATACAAATTTACGGTGAAAAACTCTGAAATTCTCAATGATTGGTTAATTTTTTAAGAAAATTTTTAATTTTTAAGTCCATTGTGACGACACTCCTCTCAATTTATTTTATAGCTAAATTTACTAAAACTGATGGTGAAGAGATGGCGGAAGCTTTGCTCCAGATCTTTGATACTGATAATGACGGATTCTTTGACATCGAAGACCTCATTACTCTCTTGAGAACTTTTGAAGTATCTGGTGTAGTTCCTGAATTAAGAAAAGAAACACCTGGATTTAACATTAAGCTTTCTAAAAATCTCAGTGATGACGATACAGGATCTCCAAGTGGATCTACCAAATCTATTGCTACATGAGAATCTTCTGGTGAGATCCCAATGATCTCATCTGAGGCCTCATCTCATCTCTCAAGTAAGAAGATCACCAAGATCGCCAAGAAGATGCTAAAAAATGGCGGATTTGAGAAGACCTCAAAGCTAAATGTTGAAGATTTTTCTTACTTCATCCAAAGACACCCATGCTTTTTCAATCAATTCAGGAAAGCTATGAAGCCTCAATATTGGTCTGAAGAAGCTCAAAATTCTTCTAAGAAATCAATTTTGAGTGATTCAGAAGAAATCTCAACTGTTACGTCGGGTATCGACTTTTATTGCTCACAAGACCAAATCAGTATGTCTGGTGTTTTGAAGAAGAGAGGAGCAAAATCTGGAAAGCTACAGAAAAGATACTATGTCATCAAAGGAAACATCATGTACTACTACACAAAGGAGGGAGACATTACTCCTAGAGGAGTAATCTACCTCCCAAATAAGCTCATCAGTCTTGATACTACAAAAAGGAAATATGGAATTAAAATCTACAGCTATGACTCTACAACTGAGCACAAAACTTTGTTTGCTTCTTCGCTTAAAGAATGGGAGCAATGGTACCAATGCATGCTCACTGGAGCTAAAAATGAAGATATCAACCTTAGATACAAGATGAAGGAGACTCTCGGAGTTGGTAAATTCTCTACTGTGAGGAAGGGATATCTCAGGAGTGACGACACCCATCAGGTTGCAATCAAAATTGTCTCTAAAAAGGACATAACTGATAGAGAAAAGGAGTACATACTTAATGAGGTGTCTATCCTAAAGCTTATCAACCACCCTAACGTTCCTAAGGTTCATGAAATTCATGAAACCCATGATAAAATGATTATAGTTATGGACCTAATTAAAGATGGAGAGTTGTTCAATTACGTAGCTGAGTCTCAAAAATTGCCTATCGAAGAAGCCAACAAAGCTTTGATCCAGTTATTAAAGATATTAAAGTACCTGAAAGAGCTTAAGATAATGCACAGAGACATTAAGACTGAGAATATGATGATAAAACTTTCCAAGAGAGGAGCATTGAAGAAAGTTTATTTAATTGATTTCGGACTTGCGAGATTCACGGATCCTACTGAACAAATCACCCAAAAATTAGGAACAATGGGATACTGTGCTCCAGAAGTCATTCTTAAGAAAAACTATGATGCTTCTGTTGACATGTGGTCAACAGGAGTTGTATACTACCTTCTTTTAACAGGCAGACTGCCTTTCGATGGAAATAGCAATGAGTCTATCTCTGATAAGACTGTAAACTCATCTTTATTGCTCAAAGGAAAGATTTTTGAAGAATTAGACCTAAAAATTCATGAATTTTTGAATTCATCACTTGCCAAGAATCCTAAAGACAGACTAACTGTTGAAGATGGATTGGTCTTGACCTCTGCTTTCTAAAACGAGAGGCTACTAAAGCTTCTTCTAATTTTAACATAATATAATTTTAAAGAAGTTCCTTGTGTTTGAGGGGTTTTGGGGTTTTGGGGTTTTGGGGTTTTGGGGTTTTGGGG